GGTTGGTCTTGAACTCCTGAGTTAAGCGATCTGCCCACCTCAGCCTCCCAAAGTGCTGGGATTACAGGTGTGAGCTACCATGCCTGGCTTATGGTTTGGAGTTAATGAGGCAATGTTTAGAAATGAATCCCTCTAAATATTCTAGCCTATTAGAGATTTATAGGCTCTATAGCAGATTCTACTGGAAAGACTATGGTTACACAAAAGACTTTCAATTCTCTTGCTAAAGTTGTTCTGGATAATAGAATTGCTCTAGATTACTTACAGGCTAAACAGAAATATCTGTGCAGTGGCTGATACCTCTTATTGAACATGGAGGAATACATTTGGGTATTACAGAGATTCAGTTGTAGGGGATAACAAACAGGCTGCTTGGTTGAAATGAGTAGACTCTTATTCTAGCTTGTTCTTTGATCTATTTGATTTTTGGTAGCTTGGTTTATGGGGACCTTGGCTAAGGAGCATACTTCAAACTTTTGGGGTTATCCTCCTGATAATCATAATAGTAGTCTCCCTGGCATACTATATTCTCTCAAAAGTTTTAAGTGTTTGCATATGGCCATCTACTGAATGTCAAATGGTCAACTGGGTGCAGTGGCTCATGCCTGTAATACCGGCACTTTGGAAGGCCGAGGCAGGTGGATTACCTGAGGTCAGAAGTTCAAGACCAGCCTGACCAACAAGGTAAAACCCTGTCTCTACTAAAAATACAAAAATTAGCCAGGCATGGTGGCAGGTGCCTGTAGTCCCAGCCACTTGGAAGGCTGAGACAGGAGAATGGCTTGAACCTGGGAGGCGGAGGTTGTAGTAAGCCACTGCACTCCAGCCTGGGCCACAGAGCAAGACTCCATCTAAAAATAATAATAAGTCAAGTGGCATGGTCTCTCTTGAATTGGAACAAAAACTCAAAGAAATACATGACCATGAGGACACCATACTTATGAATGACGTACTGAGACCAGAAACCCAAAATCTTAACAGAATGGTGCTAAGATCCTAAGTTTTGGTCACACTCTTAGCTAAGTGAGGACCTAACCAAAAGGAAGGAATTTTTTTTTTAATTGTTACAAAACCCAAAATAATTTTAATCTCAATTTGCAACATAATCCACATTTTAAATGTCTAGAAACAAAAAAAATTTTAACATACAAATGCCTTAGAAAGAATTCAATTTAGTTCAGTAATTTTATAGTCAGAGTATCTAGAATAAAGACATATTTATAATTTTTTGTCCAGGTTTTTAAATAAAAATCAGTAACGTTAAATGGAATACTATCACTTTATAGAGAAATAGTATGAAATTACATTGAGAAGTGAGAATAGTCATTAAACATTAAGATTTTATTACACCCAGGCATTATATACTTCTTTACGCTTAAGGAATAGATATTAAACAATCTTGGAGTAAAAAATAGAAGGCAACTTGCTTCAAGTTCGTACCAAGTCAATCAAGCAGAAACCTGAAGATGTTTTGTTTTGAGAGGCATTTATATACTTCGCAGACATTTCTTCCAATGAAAAAATAAAATCAATGTTCCACTATCTTTGCATTTACATAAATGTTTATAAAAAGCATTTAAGACATTGTTTCTCACAGGTGGCTGAATATTGAAATCACCTAGATTAAAAAAAATACTAATCCCTATATAACCCCTACAATTCAGATTTAATTGGTATAAGTTAGAAAAGAAGAAATTTTTTTTTTTTTTGAGACAGAGTCTTACTCTTGTTGCCCAGGCTGGAGTGCAATGGTGCCATCTCGGCTCACCGCAACCTCCGCCTCCCGAGTTCAAGCAATTCTCCTGCCTCAGTCTCCTGGGTAGCTGGGATTACAGGCATGTACCACCACGCCTGGCCAATTTTTGTATTTGTAGTAGAGACGGGGTTTCTCCATGTTGGTCAGGTTGGTCTTGAACTCTTGACCTCAGGTGATCTGCCCGCCTTGTTCTCCCAAAGTGCTGGGATTACAGGTGTGAGCCACTGCGTCTGGCCAGAAAGGGAGGAATTTTTAAAGAAAATTATGGGAGGTCATTGTTTTGGGCTAAGCTCATGCACGAGGTCCCAACAGATCACACCAAACTAAAATGGAGTCACTCATGCTAAATATGAGATAATTAAATTGAAATATTAAAGAAACAGATAGATTCTATTTTGTCTTTCTTTTGAAAACATGAAATTTCAGCATGAGGAGGTCCCCTCTATTCTTACCCTTAGAAAAAAGTAACCTTAAATCCTTGTTCCCATTTTACAAAATCCATTGTTCTGCTATTTCCCAGTGGGATTTGAGACCAATAAGTAAATTTATGATGGTGACAGAGTGAAATCAATGCCAATCCGTAAAAAAACCCAAAAATTTGAGAAGTCGATTGAAGGGGATAACTGTTAAATTAAATTTTGTCTAAAGCTACCTCCTTACATCTTTTAAGTTCAGCCTAAAGGCTTCTCTGAACACAGTATACTGTAACCCAGGCCAGGTGCAGTGGCTCACGCCTATAATCCCAGCACTTTGGGAGGCCAAGGCAGGTGGATCACCTGAGATCAGGAGTTTGAAACCAGCCTGGTCAACACAGTGAAACCCTGTCTTGATTAAAAAGACAAAAATTAGCTGGGCATAGTGGTGCATGACTGTAGCTCCAGCTATTCCAGAGGCTAAGCAGGAGAACTGCTTGAACCTAAGAGGCGGAGGCTGTAGTGAGCCAAGATCACGACACTGCACTCCAGCCTGGGCTACAGAGTTAGACTCTGTCTCAAAACAAAAACAAACAAAACAAAAACCTGTAACCTAACTGGATGTGTAAATATGATATAAGCTACTTGAGTACCAGTAGTTGAGTTTCAGCCAACCAATTACAGCTAACCATTCAAAACATCTTCAAATAAGGCAAATGCCAAGCTGTAACCAATCCATCTGTTTGTGTGCTCCATTTCCATATTCTGTATGCCACTTTCCTTTTTCTGTCCATAAATCTTCTTTAGCCATGCATTGGCTGGAAGTCTCTCTGAACCTATTCTTGTTCCAGGGCCTGCCTGATTTGCAAATCATTCTTTGCTCAATTATAAACTCTGTTAAATTTAATCTGTCTGAAGTTTTTATTTTAACAGAAGATATTATTAGCTCTATTTTACAAAGGTGAACATTGAAGAATAACGAGGTTTAATAAATTATCCACAGTAATAAATCCAGATAGTGGCAAATCTGAAAATTAAACCTAAACTGTCATCAAAAGACAGTGATGCTGTTACTATCCTACAAAAAGTAGTTGTGATATTGTGAAATATAAAACATTTGTTCTTCATTCCCATTGTCTAGCAGACAACTCCTAAAATCCTTAGAAACTCCAAAGTGTGGTCTTTATGTATGCTAATGATTGCCTAATAGTTGGTAGCCTGTAGGTGGCTTCAGGATGGGGTCTGGTCACTGGAAAGTCAAGGCAGGATTACGGGGGTGGGCTTTCACCCCCATACCCCAAACTTCAAGCAGGTGAAAGGGGCTGAAGATTAAGTTGATAACTAATGGCCAACAGTTTAATGAATTAGGCCTATGTAATGAAGCGTTCATAAAATCCCAAAAGGATGGAGTTTGGAGAGCTTCTGGCCAGCTGAACACAGAGGTTTCCTGGAGGGTGGGTGTAGCCAGGGATGGCATGGAAGCTCCACATTCCCTTCCCATGCCTTTATCTACATCCTTTGTAATATCTTTTATAATAAAAAAGTAAACATAAGTAAGTGTTTTCCTGAGTTCTGTGAGTTGCTCTATCAGAGGAATCTACCCCAAAGAGGAGGTCACAGGAACCCCTGACCAGAGGCCTGGACTTGCTACTGGCATCTGAAGCAGAGTGCAGCCTTAAGAGATTGAGCCCTCAATCTGTGGAATCTGACGCTATCTCCAGGTGGATAGTGTAATAATTGAACTGGAGCCCACCCAGCTGGTATCCACTGCAGAGCTGATTGTTTGCTTGGTGTGTAGGGAAACCCTCCCCACATTTAGTCACAAGAGTCTTCTGTGTTGATTGCTATGGTGTGAGATCCAAGAAAAAATGTGGTTTGAGCTTGTGTTTTTTCCATTCACAGTAGTCTGTAAGGACATCTAGTAGAATGAATCAAGGAATTTACTATGATTAACAAATTTTTCATCAAACTATTGAGAGGAAACTTTTTCTTTCTTTTATTTAGTTATTTTTGAGATGGAGTCTCACTGTGTCTCCAGGCTGGAGTGCAGTGGCCCATCTCGGCTCACTGGAACCTCCGCCTCCTGTGTTCAAGTGATTCTCCTGCCTCAGCCTAGTGAGTCGCTGGGACTAAAGGCATGTGCCACCATGCCCAGGTAATTTTTGTATTTTTAGTAGAGATGAAGTTTCACCATGTTGGCCAGGATGGTCTTGATCTCCTGATCTTGTGATCTCTCTGCCTCGGCCTCCCAAAGTGCTGGGATTTACAGGTGTGAGTAATTGCACCCAGCTGAGAAGAAACATTTTTGTTTTGTTTTCTTTTTTTTCTTCAATCCTGCTCCTTCTCGATTTAAAAAAAAAAAAAACTTTTTTTTTTTTTTTTTTTTTTTGAGAAGAAACATTTTTAAAAGTTCAGTGATTAGGCCAGGAGTGGTAGCTCAATCCTGTAATCCCAGCACTTTGAGAGGCCAAGGCAGGGGGTCACCTGAGGCCAGGAGTTTGAGACCAGCCTGGCCAACATGGTGAAACCCCGTCTCTACTAAAAATACAAAATTAGCTGGGCGTGGTGACACATGCCTGTAATCCTAGCTACTTGGAGGCTGAGGCAGGAGAATTACTTGAACCCGGGAGGTGGAGGCTACAGTGAGCTGGGATCACACCACTGCACTCCAGCATGGGCAACAGAGTGAGACTCTCATCTCTGGGAAAAAAAAAAAATGTTCAGTGATTAAATATACTCCATATTCAGGCAACATTTGTCGGAACATTAGATGAGTAATTTAAAGTCTAAACACAAAAAAGTCCCAGAGCGAAGGTAATGACATGCCTTACTTCAATATTTCTTCTCTGCACTGCCTCTGTGTGGCAAAACAAGCGATAGCCCACATTTTGATTTCAACTCCTGTGTGGAACTGTTTCCCTCGCATGTCCCATACTCCGTGGCTCGGTGTTGCAACGGTCCGATTCTATAGGAGGAGAAAAAAATAACATGGTGAAAAAGAACAAAAATTTTCAATAAATGGAAAGTAAAAATTTCACATCGCTGAATTGAAATATTTCTGACATGCCTTTTTCTCCATAGTTACAAACTATGTGTATGATTAAAACATTAACACAAGGCTTTACCCGTCCTCCATACTGGAGCATAGGTGCTGGAAGTACACGTCCAGTTACATGAGCCATTTCATCCCGAACTTTAAATTGAAACTCCTGGACAAATGGATCCGTTTCATAATTTGCACTTCTTACCTAACAATAGAAAAAGTTTGTAGTTACTCTCAAAATTCCCCCAAATCCCCTACTTTAATGCATTAGAACCCTCTTTTTTTCTTCACTATATCAACAATATGTTTTCCAACAGGTCTGATCAACAGTGCTCTAACTACAGAATAGATAATCTTAACCTGGGGACCATGGGTCATGAACAGGCTATAGAAATTCCTGGTAATTTATACAAAATATATATGTATGCATTAGGTTGAATAATACATTTTGATCTGGCATAGTAGTTCAGGCCTGTGATCTCAGCACTTTGGGAGGCCAAGTTGGAGGACTGCCTGAGCCCAGGAGCTTAAAACGAGCCTGGGCAACATAGTGAAACCCTGTCTTTACAAAAAATTAAAAAATTAGCCACCATGGTGGCTCATATGTCTGTAATTCCAGCACTTTAAGAAGCTGAGGCAGGAGAATCTCTTGAGCTCAGGAGCTCAAGACCAATCTGGGCAACAAAGTAAGACCTCATTTCTACAAAAAATAAAAAAAAATAGCCAGGTGTGGTACCATGTGCCTGTGGTCCCAGCTATTTGGGAGCCTGAGGTGAGAGAACTGCTTGAGCCTGGAAGTTCAAGGCTGCAGTGGGCTGTGACTGCACCACTGTACTCCAGCATGGCAGTCAGAGCAAGACCCAGTCTCAAAAGAAAAAAAAATCCATGAAAATGATAATCTAACTTTATCTTTTTTTATTTTTTTATTTCTATTTTCTTTTTTTTCCCCCCATGCAGGGCATATCTTTCTTTATTTTTTAAAGAGATGGAGTCTTGCTATGTTATTTAGGCTGGCTTTGAACTCCTGGGCTCAAGCCATCTTCCTCTCTCAGCCTCCTGGCTAGCTGAGAATAAATGCATGCACCACTATGTACTATCCAGCTGAAAATGGTAATTTTGTATGATTGAACCTAATATTTTTTCAGATGGAGAAAGAAATATCTCAACTAAAAAGAGGTTAAGAACGTCTGATTATAGAGAATCTAGATACATTCTATTCAAATTTATTTTTGTGTAGAGTTTGATAGGAAATATTAAAAATCCTAAGGCTTCTTTCTTAATTATTTGATTTATAATTTATATAAAATTTACTTCCCTGTTTTCAGAAAAATAGTGCCATATTATAAAATTTATTTAATGGAACACACTTGAGACAGATAAGAAGGCCAGTATGAGTTACAGGTTGTAATTTTTATATGTTTCCATACATATAATTAAAGATAAAGAACTTAATGTAATTCAGTGTTGGATGCCACCAAAATTCATGCTTGTATATTCTGATTCTAGAGTGTCTACTCTTAATTACTACATGATCTTTCCAGATGCTATAAATATAATAATATGATAACAGTAACAGTAAGAAAGTGGAGAAGCTAGACTTCGAACCCATGGTTGTTACACTCCAAAGTCTGTTTTATTTTTTTAAAATACACTATGATACTTTCTGAACAGTTAAGCTGTATAACAAATGAGAACAGTTAGTTATTCAGACTTTTATAGAGAAAGTAAGAGGTCATAGTTTCTGGAAGATTTTGGGAAAGCTTTTAAAATCTTACAGTAGAATAAGAGAAAAATCCAGGATGAGAACCAGCCTATATTTTCCTAATTAAATATGATATAATAACTTTCACTGACTCTTTACAAAAGAGTCAATAAGGAAAAAAAAGTCAGGTGCCTCAGCCACCTGACTTGCTGGGATTACAGACGCATGCCACCATGCCCTGCTACTTTTTGTATTTTTTAGCAGAGATGGCATTTCACCATGTTTCCCAGGCTGGTTCCAAACTCCTGGCCTCAGGTGAACCACCCACCTTGGCCTCCCAAACTGCTGGGATTACAGAGGTGAGCAACTGAACCCAGTCAATCTTCCATTTCTTTATTCAGTAATTTCTTTTTCTGTAATTGGCTTACCAAATAAGAGAGCCAGTTTTTAGCCAAAGATTAAATTACTAAGGTTAAAAAATAAATAAAAATAAATTGGTTGGGCATGGTGGCTCACGCCTGTAATCCCAGCATTTTGGGAGGCTGAGGCAGGTGGATCACGAGGTCAGGAGTGGAAGACCAGCCTGGACAACATGATGAAACCTCATCTCTACTAAAAATACAAAAATTAGCTGGGCATTGTGGTGGGTACCTGTAATCCCAGCTACTTGGGAGGCTGAGGCAGAGAACTGCTTGAACGCAGGAGGCAGAGGTTACAGTCCAGCCTGGGTGACAGAGTGAGACTTCATCTCAAAAAAAAAAAATAATAATAATAAATAAATAAAAATTAATTAAAAGAGCCAGTTTTGCACCCCCATTTTCAATAATCTTTAAAATTGCTTTTTGGAAGTGTTATTATGTTGTTTTGGGAAATATTAATATTCCAGATCTTTTTTCTCTTCACTTGGGCAGTTAAAATGGCATTCAAGAACAGAGCCAGATAAGATTCAGATACCTTTTTATCTTGAGTTTTGCCTTATTCTATGAGTTTTATAAAGTAGTATTGGTAACTCCTTCCTTCCCCTCATTTAGAACAATGAGACAGCATAGAGACCTGACATGGTTAAAACTGTCTTCTGTTTATTTTCTTTCTTTCTTTTCTTGTCTTTTTTTTTTTTTTTTTTTTTTTTAGACAGAGTCTCACTTTGTTGTCCAGGCTGGAGTGCAGTGATGCAATCTGAGCTCACTGCAGCCTTTGCCTCCCAGGTTCAAGTGATTCTTGTGCCTCAGCCACCTGACTTGCTGGGATTACAGATGCATGCCACCATGCCCTGCTACTTTTTGTATTTTTTAGCAGAGATGGCATTTCACCATGTTTCCCAGGCTGGTTCCAAACTCCTGGCCTCAGGTGAACCACCCACCTTGGCCTCCCAAACTGCTGGGATTACAGAGGTGAGCCACTGAACCCAGTCAATCTTCCATTTCTTTATTCAGACTGTACAGCTGCCACTCTGATACTGGGGACTAAGCAATCTTGGACTGAGTACTAAGAATTTTAGTATTGCTAGTCATAATTCCTTGATTTTTCCTCCTATCTCCTACCTCTTTCACGTGGAGGTTCCAGTTTACTAAATTGAAACATTTCTTCTGAGAGGATCCCCTGGATCCACTTAAAATGCTCAGGGTTGGCCAGATGCAGTGGCTCACGCTGGTAATCCCATCACTTTGGGAGGCTGTGGCAGGTGGATCACCTGAGGTCAGGAGTTTGAGACCAGCCCAACAAACATGGAGAAACCCTGTCGCTGCTAAAAATAAAAAAATTAGCTGGGCATGGTGGCGCATGTCTGTAATCCCAGCTACTAGGGAGGCTGAGGCAGGAGAATTGCTTGAACCCAGGAGGCGGAGGTTGCAGTGAGCTGAGATCACGCCATTGCACTCCAGCCTGGGCAACAAGTGTGAAACTCTGTCTCAAAAAACAAAACAAAAAACCACCCCTCCAAAAAGAAACAAAACAAACAAACAAAAAACCCTCAGAGTTAAATGAGAAGCACCTGACCCTTCTTATATAGCCCACCAAGGCTTGTATCCAGAACATTAGATTACTTCCATGATCCTTTTAATTCTGATAGTCCATGAAATGGTAATAAGGTACGGGTTGATAAGGACATGGTTCTCTAGTATTATAGTTCACCCTAATATGTTTTAAATTCCCATTTCTAAGGTTAAATACTAACCAATCTGCTAATTTCCTCTTGTCTATCTGGCGCAGATCTTGCTGTTGCCTTGATCATAGTGGAAGTCTGATTGTCTGTTAGCTTCTTGATACATCGTTGCCCTGCCACAATATTGCAGACCTACAAATGGAAAAAAGTTTTGTACTAAATGTATGTATCTTCTTTTTTTTCAGTTCTTCCTTAGTGCCAATTAAATGTAAAATAAAAATTTTAAATCAACTTCATTAAATCACTTATTTTCAATATGTTAAGTAAAAAAGTAGTAAACAAGACTGCTCTACTGCATGATTATAATTAAGTAAAATGTACACCAGATAAAGACTAGAAGAAGTAGAGTATACCAAAATGTTAATATTTGTTATACTAGAGTGGTAGGATTACGGATGAACTTGTTTCATGTTATTTCATTAAAAACAATTTAGAATGAATTAAAACTTATCAACAGTTCATATTCCGAAATGAATGTTCCAATATGAAGTAAGTTATCGGGCATAAAAGACCCAAAAAGGATGATGAACAATAGGGTATTAATTAGCAGCGTGAAGGTATTACTTCTAGTGGCAGGTAGGTATGTTTCTGCTCCTGCCCAACTTGCAGACAAGGAAGGTGTGGGTACTTCAGCTGAAGAGTATACTTTTCTCTGAAATACTGCGCTACTGTTCTCTCCACAGTTTGGCCATTTTCTAACTGTAAAGGAAAGCTGAGAAAAAAAAAGCACATATGAACACTTCTTTCCCATTATGAGCCAGAAAAACTCCCAACCCCAGTAACTAGAGCAAGCTGTCTCACACCATCACTGCTCTGACAAACTTTTCTTACGTTTGATGACTGGCAGGCCTCCTTGTTACATTACAAACACGGTATTTTCGTCTCATTGTTCCACAATGAGTCACTTCAACCTTCAAACCTGTTCCCAACAAGAAAAACGGATGTTACAGAACTGTCACATGTAAAATATTTATACTTACAAAGCCTGTTCATTACTATAAACACTCAATTCTGAAGAGACAAAAAAATTCTGTGATACAGGCAATATGATATGAACACCAGATTTTACATATAACATTGCTAATAATAGTCACATTCATGACAGACCTAATGCCAAACCCTACCCTATCAAGCTCCACACATTACAAAATAAAATAAAACTTACAAAGCCCATAGATACAGGGCCAGAGTCCTCCATTAATTAAAAAACCTGTTTATGATAAATTCAGGTACTTATGCTGGAAGAGGGAAGGAGGAATGAAAGAGGAGTTCCAATAATTCTCAAGGTATTCCATAATTTCAAATTATGTGATATTTATCTAGCCCAGTCATCACATACTGATTGAAGATCAGAATTTCATAAAGCTCAAGAAAGAAGCCTTTTAAAGATTTATAAAGCAGGAGAAAAAAATGCCAGGCCTTTTTAACAGAAGTGACAATTTTATAGAAGTATAATACAGTGACACAGCTCTTTTCTAATACTGTTAAAAATCAAATGCAACCAAAATCATTCCTAAAGTAGGTGATCCCTACCCCTTTATGGAGTCAGACCCCTTTGAGAATATGATGTAAGCAATAAACTCTCAGCAAAGCACATACACACAATTTAGCATGTGATTTTAGGAGTTCTCAGAGCCCTGCAGTCCATCTGTGGACCTTAAGGATTCAAGGATCCCAGGCCTGCTCTAGAATGTAAAGAAACGGGCTTTAAGCCATTTTGAAGAAAATTCTTTGAGATGAATTTTCTGAAGCAGTGCCGTCAAAGAGAATTTTCTTGAGATGATGGAATGTCCTACATCTATGCTAATATGGTCATCACTAATCACGTTACTAAGCATAGGAAATGTAGCTGGTGCACCTAAGAAACTGAAAATTTATTTATTTATTTACTTTCTGAGACGGAGTCTCACTCTGTTACCAGGCTGGAGTGCAGTGGTACAATCTCAGCTCACTGCAACCTCTGCCTCCCAGGTTCAAGTGATTCTTCTGCCTCAGCCTCCCGAGTAGCTGGGATTACAGCTGCCCATCATCACGCTGGCCAGGCTGGTCCAGAACTCCTGACCTCAGGTGATCCACTCACCTCGGCCTCCCAAAGTGCTGGGATTACAGGCATGAGCTATCGTGTCTGCTCTTAATTTTAATTAATTTAACTGCATGTGGTTAGTGGCTACTGCACTGACTAGTGCAATATTGGCTCTACCTAGAGAAGAGTTAACAGGTACAGAGAGGTCACAGATAAGCAACTCCTTTCTAAGTCTGGCCTAGACTCCAAAGGATAAAGTCCAAAATGGAGTAGATGAAGGACAACTTTTAGTTCCCTGATAATATTTATGGTTATTACTCTTTGCCATATTTCTCTTTTATACTTGTGATTCCTATACTGCAGTGGTTCTTAGTCAGAGACCAATCTATAACCCAAGGGACATTTGGCAATGTCTGGAGACATTTTTGATTGGAATGACTGGGGATGCTACAGGTTTCTGTTGAGTAGAGGCCAGGGATAGTGGGAAACATCCTGTAACGCACAGAACAGCCCTACCCCCAATCCCAACAAAGAATTATCCAGCCCAAAATGTCAATACTGCTAAGGTTGAGAATGGCTGCTATGGTAAAATTTATTTTCTTATCTAACTGCTAATTGCAATTAGGTAAGAAAATTAGTACCAAACACAAAGCTCAATCCTATAAATGATATTTTCTTCTGACAGATCAGAGCAAATTAAGATGTTAAATGGACATGGTATACATCCCTGTACCAGACTGTTATGGGTTTGCTTTTCTTTGGAAGTGTTCCTCCTTGAATCAGTGAGTAGTAGTTTTTCATTAAAACTACCTTTATAAAACAAAAGTATCAGATCAGTTAGAGAATTACTATGTGTTTGCATTATAAAGGAGACTAGAAAATAAAATACTATCAAGGGAGGACCTTTAAAGAAGGAAACACTAATATGAAGTAAACAAGATGTAAAAATATGTTCAGGGGAGAACACAACAGAAAAGTCTAAAGCAAATTTCTGTTGTTTGTACACTTAGCAATTTATTTTCAAGTCTTCCCTTGAATTAAAAAAATGTTAATAAGGTTCTCCAAGCCTATATACAAAATAAGCTTTTACTAAAAATAAATTGGCACTTTTATATACATATGGTACTTTTACCATACATTTTCCCTAATATTTCTGCTGTTTAACTACCAAGAATTATTGGATAAAGAAACCACCCCAAAGTTACTATTTAATATTTAGGTACAAGTTCAACTGGAATAAGATGAATATACTAAGAAAACCTATTCTTTATAGCACACTTTGTGTCAATATTTAACAGTTAGCATCAAATTCTTCATACCAGCTAAAAATTAAACCCATAGATACAGAACACAAAACTCTTATTCTCTTGGGTTACTGTAGTAGGAATACATGATGTACTTTAAAGAGCCTTCTTTGAAAAAAAAGCCCTACCGTACTTGGAAAGAAATGGAGAAAAAAAATAATCAGTTTGTCAATTGGATCCAACCCAGATTTTTCCACCCCCAAACTAGGATCATAAGTACCTAAGAATCAGTCCAAAATCTAGGGGCTAGCAAAAGCTGAAATTTTAAAAAAGTGGACTAGATAATTCTCTGCCCAGGTCCCTCCCCAAACCCTCCAACCAACCAAAAAAAACACTTTTGGCTTTAATAAATATTTAACCTATAAACTTGGCTTTACCTTCACTATAACATCAACTTTATTATGCTTTCTAGTCATTTTTTCAGTCATTTCTTTGGGCCCCTGAGCAGTTGAAGTTAAGATCGAGTCCATGCTCTTCGGGCAGCAGTTGAATCCTTGTTCTGTACATCTTGTATTTTCTGTGATAGAGTGGTGATATGAGTTGATTGCATAGTTACCGCAAAGTAATGTATGTGACTTCATGATATCAGAGGTGGTAACTAAGCAGCAACTCCACTGGAAACCATGGCATTTAGATGATCACATATTAACGGGAGGTAATGCACTACCTTCTGATAATGCTAGCTGTGCATTTAATACAGATTATGAAAGGACAATGGTATCACTGCAAAACAGCTACATAAACAGTTTCTTTTTTTGGCATTTAAATAACTTGAGATAAAAGGATGCTTATTGTTGAAGCAGCGTGCATCTTCCTTTTAATGTTTTATTACAATGACTACCTCCTGGTTACTGAAGGCAAAGAATGAATGATTACTGGAGCAAGTAGGATGTATTAAACTACTCTAATTGATCTGGGGGAACTGAAAGATGTTAGGTGAACAAACTTAAATGCTTCATTCAAACCACAAGCTGAAAATTATCTTCAATAAATAGGTAAAATCTTAAAATAAAAACAACATAATTATTTCTGGCTATTTAAGATCTAACAAAATAAACAGAATTTATCCTACTCATGCTGATTAGAGAGTATCACACTAAGTACATATAAAATATAGATTTCAGAATGCTATTCTTTTTTCTTTTTATTTTTGGGCAGCCATATAGAATGAATTTATTTGAGTTAAAGTACATATGATGCAACAACACCGTACAAATTTAGCTACTAAGTATAACAGACGAGATCAACAGTCAACTCTATAATTTACACTAAATAACTATAATTCTGTAACAACACATGAAACAGGCTAGCCCTTTATTCATACATTTTCAAAGTACTAAAATAAAACAACTCTCATTTCAGAAAAATAAGGAAGTCATTATATTAGAATATGTTCTAAGAATTCTAGTCCTAAAGTAACAAATATTTTTGGAATAAGTTTCCTACTTTTAACAATATTATTAAAGCATTTTCCCATGAGATATTCTTATCCCTTCAGCTACTGAGGGAAAGTGTTAACGAAAAATTAGCTGGTAGTGATACTAATTCCATTACTTTGCATTTCTTTCAAATACTACCTAAGATGTTACAGTAATGGATTTAATGTAATATTTTATTTTATAATTGATGTATATTTTTACTGGTGATGTTACATAAACAGATTTTACTTAAACAAAATACATTTAAATAAAAGGTTGTTATATCCATGCATTTTCTAGTTAAGTTGTGCTAAATGCTAGTTAATTCACCTTTTATCTCTTTGGTGAATTTTACCCGATGAGAATCAGTCAGAGGTCTTGGTTGCTCATCAATATTATGAATATCAAGAACTTCACACATGAACTGAATTACAGGTTGTGCTTTGTAGAAGGCAGTAGCAGAAACTAAGGAGAAAAACACAAATAATACAAATTAATGTTTCCCTAAAAAATTCAGAAACTTCATCTTAGGCTCCCTAATAACCACCTATACAGTTAAAATGATCCCTTATGCACATTTATTTACATACAAATTTCCAAAATTAGGCAGTTTTTATTTGGCCTCTGAGGCACACAGCCAAATACTCCAGTTTTTATAATCTATCTCTTTCATCATGAGTAACTGATTCATTCCATTCTCTATAGAGAAGTGTTCTGTGTGAGACAAGGCTTGTAAGAGACAAAGAAGGCCAGAGCCCCTTGGTAGATGAGATAGTTAGGTATTACTTCTTTTTTTTTTTTTGAGACAGAGTCTTACTCTGCCACCCAGGCTGGAGTGCAGTGGTGCCATCTCAGCTCACTGCAACCTCTGCCTCCTGGGTTCAAGTGATTCTCCTGCCTCAGTACCCTGAGTAGCTGGACTTACAGGCACCTGCCACCAGGCCCAGCTACTTTTTATATTTTTAGTTGAGATGGGGTTTCACTGTATTGGTCAGGCTGGTCTTGATCTCCTGACCTCAGCCGATCCACCTGCCTCAGCCTCCCAAAATGCAGGGATTATAGGTGTGAACCACCATGCCCAGCCCTTTTTTCTTTTTCTTTTTTTTTAACAGAGACAAGGTCTCACTATATTGCCCAGGCTGGTTTCCAACTCCTGAATTCAAGCAATCCTCCCACCTCAGCCTCCCCAAAGTGGTGGGATTACAGGTGTCAGCCACCATGGCTGGCCAGTATTATTTCTTAAACAAGGCTTTCTATGTCACCCTAGACTGTCTAACGAGTTTTCCCTGTCTTGTAATGATTTGAGAAAACAGTGGTATTAGTTGTTGGTGCTAATCTAAGGTACAGATAGTAATGTTAAGGGATATCTGCCACCATTATTGAGCAATGGGTGGTTTTTTAGCAGTCAACTAGTATGATTTCTTAATTGTGGGTTTTGGAACTAGAAGAGCTTCATCACTGGTTAGCAGATCACCATCACTCATTTCTTAGACACATACTTATTAATGGCTATTACGTGTCATATAGGCACTGGGGATACAACAAAAAGTATAACCATAAGACAATAAGTTACATGCTATCATGTTATTTTTCTACTCAACAAAACATGCCCACTGTCTGCTCAGCTAAGGGTAAACTTTTTATGTGGTGATCTTTGTCTTGCTTTCCTTGGTTTAGCATTAAATGTCCTCCATAAAATGTCCCTTACCTCTGGGAGGATATTTTCAAAGCTTTAACAGTAGTTATCTCTGGATAAATGCGGGTAGGGAGGCTACTGTGGGTATTTTATTTTCTGTAAAAAATTTTTGGGCTGGTGCAGTGTCTCATGCTTGTAATCCCAGCACTTTGGGAGGCAAAGGTGGACGGACTGCCTGAGCCCAGAAGTTCAAAACCAGCCTGGGTAACATGGTGAAACCCCATCTCTACTAAAAATACAAAAAATTAGTTGAGTGTGGTAGCATGCGCCTGTAATCCCAACTACTCGGGAGGCTGAGGCACAAGAATCGTTTGAACATGGGAGGCGGAAGTTGTGGTGAGCTGAGATCACGCCACTGCATTCCAGCCTGGGTGACAGAGTAAGACTCTGTCTCAAAAAAAAAAAAAAAAAGTTATCTTGGCTGGGCACAGTGGCTTACGCCTGTAATCCCGACACTTTGGGAAGCCAAGGTGCATGGATCACTTGAAGTTAGGAGTTCAAGACCAGCCTGGCCAATATGGTACAACCCTGTCTTTACTAAAAAAATACAAAAATTAGCTGGGTATGGTGGCACACACCTGTAATCCCAGCTACTCGGGAGGCTAAGGCTGGAGAATTGCTTAAACTCATGAGGCAGAGGTTATAGTGAGCCGAGATTGCACCCATTGCACTCCAGCCTGGACAAGAGAGTGAGAAGTTTTGCCTCAAAAAAAATTTTTTTTTAATATTTTTTTTACTATGAAAAACATTTTTATCTTCACAACTTCATTTTTAGGTACTAAGTGCATACTGTTATTTCCTTCTTTATTACACCAATAATACATGAATATAGTTTCATCATAAAAACTCAAACAATATAAAGAAGACCCTCTCCAGTCTGAACCTCCCTCTTCCAAATATCTCTAATGAGTAACCATTGTTAGTACTTAGGTATGCATGCATCCTCTCCTTTAATATGCACTTAGTTTTGTCAGAAAGGTGATTAAAAAAATAAAAATTAATACAATGATAATGTAGGAATAACTTTTTTAGATGAAATCAGATGATAAACATTCTATGACTCATTTTATCATTTTAAAAATTAACAATTTATCTTAGAGATCTTTTCATGTCAGTACACTCTTTAATGGCTGCACCTTATGCCACAGTATGGGAGCATGGTAAGTAAATAGGTACCCCTTCCCCTCTTAATAAAAAAGGACACAAACATTAGAAACACTATACTGGACCTTGTATGTACTAATATGAAACTGTATTATTCTTTCTCATAGCTACAAGATATTCCATTGTATGGATGTACTTCATACATCCCATACAACCCTAAGGGAGGGTTATGGGTTGTTTTTTACTATTACAAACAATATTCCAAGGTGAATATTCCTGTGTATATGTGTGTGTTGTGTATGTATATGTGTGTATTTATTTATTTTTGGTATACATCCACGAGTGCTTCTTATTTATTTATTTATTTTTGAGACAGAGTCTTACTCTATCACCCAGGCTGGAGTGCAGTGGCATGATCTTGGCTCACTGCAACCTCTGCCTCCCAGGTTCAGGCAATTCTCGTGCCTCAGCCTCCCAAGAGCTGGAATTACAGGAGTGTGCCACCATACCCAGCTAATTTTTGTATTTTTAGTAGAGACGGGGTTTCACCATGTTGGCTAGGCTGGTCTCAAACTCCTGGCCTCAACTGATCCACCCGCCTCAGCCTCCCAAAGTGCTGGGATTACAGGCATGAGCCACCATGCCCAGCCCATGAATATTTCTGTGGAAAAGACAAGAGAAATCAAATACTCACTGCTAAACTTCCATCCAAATAAACTTTAGAAACATTTCCAGTTTCTAACTAATTAAAAAAAAAGAGAGAGAGACTGTTAAGATTGTAACAGTATTCTAGATATCTTATTCAAATCCACAGTAGTTTTAAATATATAGACATTATACTCTTCTACTGAAAAATGTTAGAATATAGTTGTGCACAAAAAGGCAGGTTGACAGGATACATACCAAATTTAAGTTATATGTTTATATTGTTTAAGTTCTTAAGCATATACTGATTGGGGTAATTTTTTAAAAGTAAATAAACAAAAATAAATATATAGTGAATAATATGTTTATTTTACCTTTCCTATAATCCTACAGGTAAAATTTATTTATTAGATTGCTATAACACCAGCATTCACAACTAATGTTTCATATACCACAGAGCTGTAACTACTAAACAAACATGCTAGGATTATTTCTCTTATTTAATCCTCTTCTACTATTTTCCCCAACTGTTTATGCCACTACACTCTGAATCATTTTACTATTGACCATCTTCTCTACAGGAAGGTGGGCATTTGAGGTAAAAATTAAATTTAGTAATAAAAAACTCAAAGAATGGGTTGAAATCAGCAAATACAATTTTGAATTAGAAGTAAATTTCAATGATCAAATATTTACTTTTCTATCCCTTAGTTGAATTCTTAATATTTAATAAACCTACAAATGTATATGTATTTTATTCTTTCTTTCCCTTTCAGAAGTTAGCTAATTATTACTGAAAAATGTTGACATTTAACATTTAAAAATATATCAATAAGATATACTACATTATTGTGTTTCAGGAAGTAAGCATATAATCATTTCCAGAGATGGCAGCCCCCAAAAGCAAGCATTTGATAAAATTCAGCACTGAAGCAAATACTTTCTTTTTTTGAGATGGAGTCTTGCTGTCATCCAGACTGGAGCACAGTGACACAATCTCAGCTCACTGAAACCTCTGCCTCCCAGGTTTAAGTGATTCTTCTGCCTCAGCCTCAAGAGTAGCTGGGACTACAGGTGTGTACCACCATACCTGTAGTACTGAAAATACTAATTTTCGTATTTTCACTAGATACAGGGTTTCACCATATTGGCCAGGCTTGTCTCAAACTCCTGACCCAGTGATCTGCCCCCTCAGCCTCCCAAAGTGCTGGGATTACATGCGTGAGCCACCGCACCTTGTGAAAATACTCCTATTGTACCAGGACTAGAAAGGAATTTCCCTAATCTGATAAAAATTATTTACCAAAACTCTGTGGTATTACAACCTGGGAGATACATAAAAAAGAAAAAAAACTCAATGGTAAATTCAACTTCATTTTATAGAAAGTTCCAGCTAGCATAGCAAAGCAAATTAAGAGAATAAAAAGTGAAAAGACTGGAAAGAGAGAAAATTATTACTCTTCACAACATTGTGGACATAGAAAACTCAATAAAATCTATGGACAAATTACAGAATTGATAATTAAGCAATGTTGCCAGATTTAAGATCTGCTTATAAAAATAAAGTATATTATTATATACTAGCAACTTAATGTGATTTAAAAACATACCACTTACGATCACAACAAAAAACATAAGTCATTAGAGATGAAATCTAAACGAAAGGTGTATAAGACCTATGGAAGTAATAGGTATCTCTATTATTGAAAGATATTAGAGAAGATCAAATAAATGGAGTAATATATCCTATTCATGTAAATTATCCTCAAATTAATCTTCAAATTCAAAGCAATTTCAGTCAAAATATCAACAGGATGTAATCTTCTCTCCCCCTGAAAACTAAGATACTATAATTAACATAAAAGCATGAAAGCACGATGAAACAAGAAGAGCCACAACATTTTTTTTTTTTTAGTATCTAGAACAGAGTCTTGCTCTGTTGCCCAGGCTGCTGGAGTGCAGTGGCACAATCTCCACTCACTGCAACCTCCACTTCCCGGGTTCAATCTATTCTTCTGTCTCAGCCTCCAGAGTAGCTGGGATTACAAGCACATGCCACCAAGCCCAGCTAATTTTTTTTTGCATATTTAGTAGAGATGGGGTTTCACCATGTTGGCCAGGCTGGTCTCGAACTGCTCACCTCAGGAGTTTGGCCTCCCAAAGTGCTGGGATTACAGGCGTGAGCCACTGCGCCCAGCCAACAATTCTTAAGAATAAGGTCTGCTCTAGCATTCGTCAAGATTTGTTATAATTCTATTCAAATAAAGAGAGTGTGGCTTGAAAGCCTACCTCATATTATATATATAAATTCCTTTCAGAGAACTAAATATGAAAAGGAAAACTAACATTTATTGAAACATGTAGAATATCTTTATGATCTTAGAGGTAAGAAAGAATTTCTTAAACACACTACAAAATCCATAAACCATGAAAACTATAAGAAAAAAGACACCATAAATAAAACAACAAAGAAATAAAGCTAAAGATTGATAAAGGGTTTGTACAGTATGTTTAACAAATGCTTAGTATCTAGACTATGTGAAGAGTTCCTACAAATCAAAATAAAACAATAAAAAGTGGCAAAGGACATGAGCAAACATTTCATAGAAGAGAAAAAGAAATATATATTAAAACAATATCAACCTACTATTTTATACCAATCAAGATTAGAAAAAACTTTAAGGGTAACACAAGCTGAAAATAGGCCAATGGAAGAATAAAAGCTCTCAGACTGTAGGAACATAATCTGATAAAGTCACTTAGGAAAGGAAGTGGTAATACATAATAAATTTAAAAATGTGTCTAATTTTCAACCCAGAACTTCTGTTATAGAATATATACTCTATATAAATTCCTCATCTGCAAAAGGAGACATGAATAAGAATGCTTATATCCTTTTTATACCATTGTTTGTAAGAGTAAAAGGAAGAGATACAACCTAAATATGTGTCAATGTATTTGGATATTTTGTACTACAAACTGGATGGATAAATTGTACTATACTCATACAATTAAAATTAATGAGCAGCCACTGGAATTCAGATAAATAAAATTGAGAAAGAATGGGCATTACTTGAGGGGAGTTTAGGGGAAAATGAGATATTATTAACCACTTACACTCCTAGTATTTAGATAAACATAACTAGGGAAAAGAAATTTACCAAATAGACTATATGTTCAAAATACCAGTGGGATAATATTTCAATTCATAAACACAGTATATCTCTAAATGTATTAAGGTCATTTAAATTCCATTAAAGTTTTATAGTATACTCTAAAACACATATATCTTTTATTAGATTTATTCATAATTGATAAAAATAATTTTTTTTTCTCACTTTGGGAGGCCAAGGTGAGTGGATCACCTGAGGTCAGAAGTTTGAGACTAATGTGGTCAACATGGTGAAACCCTGCCTTTACTAAAAATACAAAAATTAGCTGGGTGTGGTGGCAGGCACCTGTAATCCTGGATACTCAGGAGGCTGAGGTAGGAGAATCGCTTGAACGCAGGAGGAGGAGGTTGCAGTGAGCCGAGATTGCGCCACTGCATTCCAGCCTGGGGGACAGAGTGAGACTACATCTCAAACCAACCGACCAACCCCAGAGAATACAGATGCTCCTTGATTGAAAATGGGATCACATCCCAATAAACACAACATAACTTGAAAATATTCTAAGTTGAAAATGTTTTTAATACATCTAAACTACTGAACACTACAGGTAGCTTGGCCTGTATCAAATGTGCTCAGAACACTTACATGAGCCTACAGTTGGGCAAAATCATCTGGCAACACAGTACATTGCAGAGTATCAGTTGTTTACCCTCGTGATCACATGGCTGACTAGGAGCTATGGTTCATTGCTGCTGCCCAACATTTTAAGGGAATTCTGTACTGTAAATTCCTAGCCTGGGAAAATATCAAAATTCAAAATACAATTTCTTCTGAAGGTATGCTACTTTTGCACCACCGTAAAGTTGAAAAATTGTAAGTCAAATCATTCTAAGTAGCATTCTAGGTTTAACTTTAAAAGAAACTGCTGGCCGGGTGCGGTGGGATGCCAAGGCAGGTGGGTCATGAGGTCAGGAGATCGAGACCAGCCTGGCCAACCAACATGGTGAAACCACATCTCTATGAAAAATAGAAAAAAAATGGCCAGGCACGGTGGTTCACGCCTGTAATCCCAGCACTTTGGGAGGCCGAGGTGGGTGAATCATGAGGTCAAGAGATCAAGACCATCCTGGCCAACATGGTGAAACCCTGTCTCTGCTTAAAGTACAAAAAATTAGCTGGGCGTGGTGGTGCGTGCCTGTTGTCCCAGCTACTCAGGAGGCTGAGGCAGGAGAATTGCTTGAAACCGGAAAACGGAAGTTGCAGTGAGCCGGGATTGCACCACTGCACTCCAGCCTGGTGATAGAGGGAGACTCTGTCTAAAAAAGAAAAAAGAAAAAGAAAGAAGAAAAATTAGACAGGTATGGTGGTGCATGCCTGTAATTCCAGCTACTTGGGAGGCTGAGGCAGGAGAATCGCTTGAACCTGGGTTGTGGAGATTGCAGTGAGCCAAGAATACGCCACTACACTCCAGGCTGGTGACGGTGTGAGACTTCCTCTTAAAAAAAAAAAAAACAGCCAAATTATTTTGCTTTTTTTCTTTTATTGAGATGAGTCTCATTCTGTCACCCAGGATGGAGTGCAGTGGTGTGATCTCGGCTCACTGTAACCTCCACCTCCTGGGTTCCAGTAATTCTCCTGCCTCAGCCTCCCCAGTAGCTGGGATTACAAGAACACACCACCACACCTGTGTAATTTTTTCTATTTTTAGTAGAGATGCAGTTGCAGTTTCACCATGTTGGCCAGGCTGGTCTCAAACTCCTGACCTCAAGTGGTCTGCCTGCCTTGGCCTCCCAAAGTGCTAGGATTACAGGTATGAGCTACTGCATCTAGACGCCAAACTATTTTTCAAAGTAGTTGTACCATTTTATACTCCTACAATTTCTAGTTGCTCCAAATCTTTGTCAACATTTGGCATTTTCAGTCTTTTAAATTTAGCCAATCTAGTAAGTATGGGTGGTATCTCATTGTGGTTCTTTCTGAATTT